GGGAAAGAGACCATAAGTTGCTGCCAACATCAAGGAAGCAAGATTTGTCATGTCATTTTGACATTTGCTATTGATAATTTGACAAATGTAACCAAAAAAAAAAATTCTTCATAATTTCATGCGAATGAAGCCGCATGGAAATTGCTAGCTATAAAAGTGACAAATGTACAATTTGTATTGAATTTAAATAAATAAATATCTCTCACCATTATCAGCAGTTTCAGTAACAGCTACCGGTTTCCTGTCCATCTTCTTAGGCGTAGTATCTTCTAGACTGAGCTTATCCAACTCCGCTAACATCCTCTCTTCTCCGTCAAACACAAAGTCACGTTCAGATTCTTTTCTCTGACCTGATGAAGGGATGATGTTTCTTATGGATATAACTAGTTTTTACCCGCGACTTTGATCATGGATAAAAAAAATGAATTTATCCAAAATGGTTTAGGTATTGGTTTTCTAATGGTGAAAAAATAATATTTGAAGCAGTAGTTTTTTAGTTTATTTGTTACATATAAAAATACAAATCTTAAATTAATATAAACTAGCTGTTCCCATGCGACTTCTTCCGCATAAAATTATGAAAATTTAATTTTATTGTTTACATTTGTCAAATTATCAATAGCAAATGTCAAAATGACATGACATAACAATCTTGCTTCCTTGATGTTGGCAGCAACTTATGGTCTCTTTCCCACATTAGGGTTTTTATCCAAAATATTTACCTCCTAAGTTTAATAACGTGAAATATATAGCCTAAAGCGTAACCTAAGTGTAGGGCTTTTTATTAAAAAAAGAATTATTCAAAAATATGGTGTAATTGCTGACATCTTAGGTAACAAAGAAGTGTGTGTTTACGCTTTATTATAATAGTATTGATAGTATACATAAAATTTAAAGTTCATAATCTTGCTTCGCTTTAGATTAATTTCGTTTTAGTTATATTTTCCGTATATTCATTGGAAATCTTGTTAATTTGTTGAAAGAATGAAATTTAAATAGATAAAAAAAACTTTTAAGACAAATGTCTTCAGAATTTACTAACTTTAGAATAAAAAGAATAAGCGAAAAAACAATATCAAACCTCGCTTTTAAATCTCCATTAAAATTACATAACCTTCAAATTTAAAAATATTGCATCTATACTATTATAATAAAGCGTAAACAGACACTTCTTTGTTGCCTAAGATGTCAGCAATTACACCATATTTTTGAATAATTCTTTTTTAAATAAAAAGCCCTACACTTACGTCACGCTTTAGGCTATATATTTTACGCCATTAAACTTAAGGGGTAAATATTTTGGATAAAACCCTAATGTGGGAAAGAGACCATAAGTTGCTGTCAACATCAAGAAAGGAAGATTTAACAGTGGTAGTGCCCGCTTTAACATGTTAGCACTGTAAGGCTCGTCCCCAGTAATACCACGACCACACAGAAGACAGCCGTGAAGTGGAAGCAATTCCGTGTACAGTCTGATGAATGTGGTGCCGGAGGCCTAATTTAAGTCCCTTTCTCTTTACCACTCTTTTCTTATAAGGAGAGGATGGGAAGGGGAAGTGGATTTGATGGTG